CTTGATGGAACTGTGTCTTTTTTAAACATTATTAACTAAGGATAGGATAGCAGCAGTCATGCCTTTGTGAACATATGCAGCAAGCTCAAGAATCGTAGACCAGAATTTATAACTGCTCAGCTAATATCATAAATTTTAATCTGGGAGACAGACCCTTAGATTTTGTCCAAAACCTAGAAAGAAAATTTCTGGCAAAGTGGCAGACCCAGGAATAGAAACAAATCAGTGATGTCAACTGCCATGTATACTATCCAGGAACAAGAAAGCCCCTCCAAATATACAATGTTAAAGTTGCACTCCAGACATGGATTTTATTGCATAGTTATACTGGCCCAGCTACCATGTCCTGCACAAGTGGCTGCCCTGATGCATATTGAACACAGAAGGATTGATTTACTAAATTTGGAGTGTGCAAAATCTAGTGCAGCTGTGCATGGTAGCCAATCAACTCCTAATTTTAGTTTCTTCAATTAAGCTGTGGCAATAAAACCTGGAAGCTGATTGGTTTCTATGCAGAGCTGCACCAGACCTGCACCAGATTGTGCATGTTCTTTTTTGAGTAAATCAACCCCATTGAGCTGCTGTGCAAAATATGCCGTGCACTGCAAGTGCAGTTGCTTTATATTTGAGGGGAAGATCTGAAATGAGGCAAACCCCTGCTTATTTCTTTCATCCAATCACGTGCAAGCAAAAATGCTGTTTTTTTTCCATTGCATGTCTTCCTCAGATTTAGAGCAACTGCACTTTCAGTGCACTTCCAAATCAACTTGAATGCACTTGCAGTGCACAGCCAATTTTCCTTTAGTAAATCAACCCCATAGTGTTGCTTGCACAGCACATACACAGTTCACAGAATGTCTTGCATTTTTCTTAATTAATGCAAGACATTCTGTAATTGGATGTGGTGGAGAGGCAGGGCAATATTCTCATGATCTCCACCTCTTCCAATCAGAGAACACTTTGCATTATTCACAGTTGCATTAACCTCCCTGGAGGTATTCCCGAGTGTAGCTCGGGGTAAAGTTTCAGTACCAAAAGCGGTAACCCCGAGCTAGACTCAGGAATACCATGCGGTGTTGTTCAGGGATTCCCTGCAGCGCTTACCTTGTCCTTTGCTCCCGCGATGTCCCCCCTGCAGCATCCCCGGCCATCTCCTCTGGCCGATGCCGGCATCCGGCTTCCGTGTTCCGGTCCCTGTGATGTCGGGACATACAGGGGCCAGAACCGGCGGCAAATTTAAAAATGTTAAAAACTGTCATTTTTTAGTAAAAAAATATTACATAGCAAAACATTGCTTTTTCGAAGCATTTCACATACATATTTTCCCTAGTGCTTTGTCCTGTGCCCTGACTGCATTTTGACTGTTCTTTCTGCCTGGAAACTGAGAAAAGTCCATGGTGTCCAAAATTGTCCTTTCAGGTCAATAGCGGTTTTAGACCAGCTAGAGAACAGCGATAGTAAATCTGAACTACTTGCAGAATTGAGTGATAATGATTTGTGGGGAAATTCGTCATCAGACACTGAAAACGATTTTGCGACTTTGCTCAGCGATGTGCGAACTTGGCGCTATATTTCAAATGTCAGTGTTTTTGGTTTGATTACATTATTGAATTAAATGTATTATTATTATATTATTATTTTTTATGATTATTTATATTATAATTTATGATTTTGTGTTTCAAGTTTTATCATATCCGGAATGTTTACTAGACTCTTGTTAGGACAGATTTCAGCGAGTTATTCCTAAAAATGTCAAGCCTACAATAAAAAAACTACATATTTCCATGCAAAATAATGGTACCGCTTTCAGCACCAAAAATCTGAAAGAATAAGACCGCCAGGGAGGTTAAACTTAAAGTGATGATTTGTAAGAGCTTTTTAAAGCATTGCCTATGGAATTTTTAGGTACCAAAGTTTGTTACTGCTTCACAGGCATGTACAGTTTTGAGGCTTGGTATGTTTGCTATCAATTTATTTAATGCAACCTCATCTTTTATGTTTTAGCAAAAAATGGTTAATACACTGTATTGTGTTTGTGTGCACTAAAATGTATTTGTATTTTTTGGAACATATGCGTTTGTTACACATATGCACTAGTATCATGTGATGTGACACAATTTTATTCTCCGAGGTCTTTGCTTTCAGAAAATGATCAGGGTTTTTCAGTATTTTTTTGTGGCCTAACGTGTGCAAAAACACAAAGACAGTTCTGACACCAAAAAGGGTTAAAGAAATATCATCTTACCCATAAAATATACCACCATGGCTGCTCAAAAACCATTCTTTTTCCTCCAGGAAGAAATCTTCACAACTTGTTTAACAAGGTAATTATAACAGGCTGTAAATGTACCTGAAATTGTTCACTGTATATAACACACATTTTCACATTCTATAAATAGGCTGCAGAAATGAAGCTAATCCATATAGCTAACTAGCCATATGCATTATACTGTCAATAGGATGACACATTTTTGAACATTATTTTGTATCTCTCCACATTGGCTATATTTCCATAATTCAATAGTGTTCAAAAGCTTGACAAACTGCTGCTCATATGTTTTTATAGGTAATTTTGTGAAGACGGTCACGGTATTGATTTACTGACGTCTCATCATTTGCAAGTTTGCAGCTCTTTTGGTTATCTATTTTTGTTCCTCACTTGTGTGCCTCAATGCTGACAATATCACCTGGAACTGAAGATGTTGTAAGCATGGTACAGAATAATTACCTACACTTTGACTTATAATGATACTTAATGACAACTTTTCAAATTTATCTGATGCAGGTAGAAAGCCTATATGAGCTAATATGGTCCCAAATGTAAAGGCATGTTCTACTTCACAAAAGCCATAGACATGTTTGGTACACAGCAAATGTTAAAAAGAATTAGTTAAGTCAAAAAACTGGTGCATAGTAACTTCTGATAAGCTCTTCACTTTTTTTTTATAAGTGCATAAGTGTATATTAGTGGTGCACCGAAATGAAAATTCTGGTGCCAAAACCGAAACCTAAAATTCAGGATGCACTTGGCAGAAACTGAAATGGACAGTTTTTAAAAATTATTATATTTTTCAAGCTCAATGTTTTTGGAAAGAAATACACAGAAATATTCTTTGTAAAATATGAAACATGATATTACACCGAGTAAATAGATACCCAAGATGTCATGCTTCAAAATTGTGCACGGTCGTGGAATGGCGTCAAACTACGGTACTTAAAAATCTCCAAGGGTGACACTTTAAAAATTTCTACAGGTTACCAGTTTAAAGTTGCAGAGGAGGTCTAGTGTTAGAATTATTGCTCTTGCTCTGACGTTTGTGGCGATACCTCACATGTGTGGTTTGAACACCATTTACATATGTGGGCATGGCCTATGTATGTGTTCACCACTACGCGCAAGCAGGAGGGACAGGGGCACTTTAAACTTTATTTTTTAATTTATTTAATTTTGTTTACACTGTCCCTTTAAAAAAAATGTAATCCCTTCCTATCACAAGTAATGCATGCATCCCTTGTGATAGAAAAAAGTACTGACAGGTCCTCTTTATGGAGAGATATTGGGTCAATAAGACCCCACATCTCTTCTCTACAATGTAAAACATTAGATCAAAAAAAGCTTTAATCTAGCTGTTTTAAAAAAAATGGCCTTGTTTACAAGGAGCCAGAACTGGAAGTGGCATTGCTTCGGTCCTCCAAGGGCATAGAGATAAGTGGAGGCTAGCTATCCTTCACTTCTCTCTATGCCTAGTGCCGGGATCGTTCTATGGTTTTTCTCAGGTAAGACTGTGAACCATGGAGCCGCGGCGGGTGGCGAGGGGCGGGGTTATTTTCGGCATCTGTATCAGTGCTTATTTTCATATCAGCCAAAGGCCATTAGGGGTGTTTTCGGCTGAAACGTTTCGGCTACCAAAATTTCGGTGCATCCCTAATGTATGTAATATATACTTTCAAAACAAACTGATAAAGCGATAGATAGATAAATAGATAGACAGATAGATAGATAGATAGATAGATCGATAGATAGATAGATAGATAGATAGATAGATAGATAGATAGATAGATAGATAGATAGATAGATAGATAGAAGATTTAAAAAAAATACTCTAGATTTTTAAATTATATGTTAGTGATAATCATGAAATTAAACATTAACTAATAATTGCCAGAAAAGAAATAGAGACCATGAAGATTTTCTTTAACTGAACATTGCATGTATAATCATGCCAGTAAGAAAAAAAATGTAATCAAATTATAGAATTTGAATGTGGTGCACAGCAGCAAAATATGGGGATAATAGTGGTGTAGATTGATAGTGACAAGCCTGAAGGGAGTGAAATTACCCCATTATGGTTTCCTAAAGTGGTGACTTTATAATATGTAGGGAAAAATTGCAATACTGACAATGACCTAATAAAAAAAAAAAAAAGAAAAAAATGTTTCGCTGCTATATAGTAAATAAAGTGACATAAATGCCATAATGTGAGTGTTACCAAAGCAATGGCTTGCGTGAAAAATATAAGCACCACACATATACTACACAAATCTCAAAACAGTGCAACAAAAATGAAAAACACTTATTAGTTAATATTGACAATGACACACAAAGAGCAAATCATATACAGTACACAAACAGCATTCAGTCAGTTGTTCCAGTATGTGGGCCACAAACAGGCAATCATTACAATTCACAGACAGAAAATGGCCAATTTCAACAATATGCAAATAGACAATTTTACCAATATGTTGGCAACAAATGGGTAATCATGAAAATATACAGTCAACAAATGGACAATATATGGAAAATTTCCCCAGCACAAGTTCACCTACTCTAAACAAAATGTATTCCCCAGTCTCTCCCCTCAAGCAACACCCCCCCCCCCCCCCCATTTTCCTCCCCCTAAGCAAAAACACTCCTGCCCCCCAGCAAAAATCTCATCCTTCTCTCCTCCCCATAAAAAAGATCTCCTGCACCCCAGCAACTACAAAACACCACACTGCACTACGAGCAGGGGCGGACTGACAACTCATGGGGCCCCTGGGCAATAGGGGATCATGGGGCCCCTGTGTCCTTGCCCAAACTCAAAAAAGCCTATGAAAAAGGTACCAGGGGCATCTCATGGGGCCCCCCTATCGACCCCGGGCCCTTGGGCAGTTTACAAATGGTCAGTCTGCCCCTGACTACAAGAAGGTCCTGAGTGTAAGCAAGTCCTCTCAGGCTTTCATTTGGCATTGTGTCCTGTGACACATCAGAGTCAAGGAGGAGTCTGGAAAAATGTCCTTCTGCTTCAAAAAATTAAAAAAAAATTCTAAACCAATTCTGAAGTCTGCACAGGGCATATGCATCACTGCTATATGAGTGCCCCTGCAGAGCCATATGCAACAAGATCTATGGCTTTGCAAGGACCCTTGCAATGTTATAAAGCGCAGGTAGGACAGCTTGTCCACTCCTGGATCACCCTGCAGCTGGTTGAATCTTGAGTCAACCATAACCCCCCCCCCCCCCCCCCCCTATTCCCAGCTATGCCTCTGCTTACCATTACCATCTCTGCTGAAGCCAATATATACTCCCTTGCACTACTATAATAGTATAGCTAGGATCTTAAGCTTCTGACACTTCTAGATATGTCAGATACCTGCATCTTCTTGCTGCATGCTGTGCCCTTCCCCACCCCCATCCCAGGCACTTCACGTGGAACTTCACTCTCTCAGTCAACATGAACTATTTTTAATCCCTATGCTGCTAACATTAGTAAATAGATACTAACATATATTATATACACTTGTTTTTAAACATTCCTTCCTGGTTTTCAGGCCTAGTCAAATGATGTCATACATCCCAGGAGTCTTCATGGGAAGAGGGGCTTTCTCAGCTAAGCACACCCTCCTGCCTGCCTACCTAAGCTAAGGGCAGATGGATTCCAGGAAGTAAATACTACATGAATCATCTGCCCTTATTCTAAATGGCCACAGCTAGAAATGCTTGGAGGGGGGGGTTAAAGTGAGTTATCAAGACTAGAGATGAGCGAAGTATTCAAAAATTCGATTCAACTGATTCGGCGAATTCGTGGACAATATTCGATTCGAGTCGAATATATTCGCTGTGAATTTAACTTAAAAAAGGGTGTTTCTAGGCTTCAGAGAGACTTAATATTAGTGCAGAACACTGTACCTTTAATTTAAATGCCCTTGGAGTCTGCTGGGGAAGAGAAATAATACTGTTAGTCAGTATGACATGCAGATGAGTGCCGTCGATCTTAGAATCACCGCACACTTCACTCATTTGGCCAGTCACGGGGCCAAAACCAGTGTTTGGAGCCACAGTGTGGCGGTGGAGGCAGCAGCAATGGGAGGCCATACAGCAACCTATGACAAAATGGAAACCAGCAGGAGTGTGAGGAGACCTCAAAGTGGCACAAGGCAGACTGGGAGCAATGGGAGGCGGTACAGGGACCCATGTCACACTGTGGACCCAGCAGCAGCGTGACCAGGCGGTACGGAGGCCCATGGCAGATTACAGGCCTGGCAGCAGCAATGGGTGGCCCGTAATCTGTCAGCACCCTATGACAAAATGGAACCCACCAGCAGTGTGAGGAGACCTGAAAGTGGCACATGGCAGAGTGTGGCGATGGAGACAGCAGCAATGGGAGGCCGTACAGGGACCCATGAGAGACTCTGGACCTGGCAGCAGCATGAGGAGGCGGTATAGGGGCCCATGGCAGATTAGGGGCCTGGCAGCAGCTATAGGAGGCCCGTAATCTGCCAGCACCCTATGTCAAAAAATTCAACACACCAGCAGTGTGAGGAGACCTGAAAGTGGCACATGGCAGAGTGTGGCGATGGAGACAGCAGCAATGGGAGGCCGTACAGGGACCCATGACAGACTCTGGACTTGGCAGCAGCATGAGGAGGCGGTATTGGTTATATAGGGGCCCATGGCAGATTAGGGGCCTGGCAGCAGCTATGGGAGGCCCGTAATCTGCCAGCACCCTATGTCAAAAAATTCAACACACCAGCAGTGTGTGAGGAGACCTGAAAGTGGCACATGGCAGAGTGTGGCGATGGAGACAGCAGCAATGGGAGGCCGTACAGGGACCCATAAGAGACTCTGGACCTGGCAGCAGCATGAGGAGGCGGTATATAGGGGCCTATGGCAGATTAGGGGCCTGGCAGCAGCTATGGGAGGCCCGTAATCTGCCAGCACCCTATGTCAAAAAATTCAACACACCAGCAGTGTGAGGAGACCTGAAAGTGGCACATGGCAGAGTGTGGCGATGGAGACAGCAGCAATGGGAGGCCGTACAGGGACCCATGACAGACTCTGGACTTGGCAGCAGCATGAGGAGGCGGTATAGGGGCCCATGGCAGATTAGGGGCCTGGCAGCAGCTATGGGAGGCCCGTAATCTGCCAGCACCCTATGTCAAAAAATGGAACACACCAGCAGTGTGAGGAGACCTGAAAGTGGCACATGTTTGGGGCATGATTCATGGCGGATTTAGTCAGTTGTGTCAGGAACTGGTGGTTTGAAATCCAGACTAATCCACGCCTGATTCATTTTCACAAACGTGAGTCTCTCCACACTTTGGGGTGGACAGTCGTGTCCTCCGCGGAGTTGCAATACCTCCTGCCGCACTAAACACGCGCTCCGATGCCACGCTACTGGCGGGCATGACAGCCTTTCAAGGGCAAATTCATCTAGTTGGGGCCAAAGGTCAAATTTTGTTGCCCAGTAGTCAAGGGGATTGTCTACC